TTGATTTCGACACTCTAACTAATTCTTTTATCATAACTAACAGTGCAAATGTAATGTAAATAAGAGATTCGTTGATAAAAACTATAGATAAAAGGGCCTTTGTAAGGGTCGGGACTCTGTCGAGTCCATATCGTTAAAGTCTGTTTGCAAAGCCTGCGACGAAATGGCGACTGATTTACCAAAGAATCCACAGTGAAATGTACCGAAAACAAATAAATAATGCTCCACTGAGACATTTACATTGTTGAAAATATTAACCACATTCCTAGCATTAGGATCCATTGGAAGGTAATGTTATTTTTAGTTCATTAATCCCGTATCATACCACAATGAGTCGGTCTCTGGGCTTGGTTACAATAAAAGCTGACAAACAAGGAAGTTTTTAGTTCTGAAACTTACAGGATATTCTTATAGTATGATGACCTCGAAAGCTCAAGAAAATTTTGATTTCTCAGTTCATGGCCCTTTAAATATTATTAATTCATCATTGTCATTAGGATACATACCAAATACCTTTAAGATGGCTATTAAAACTCTTATTTTAAAAAAAAGAAAGAAATCAGATTGTGATTGCATCTGTCTAGTTTTACTCGATGTTAGTGCTGCATTTGATACTATCGACCACAAAATTCTTTTGAATAGACTCGAAAATCATGTTGGCATTAGTGGAATTGCATTGGCATGGTTCAAATCATACTTATCTGACCGTTATCAATTTGTAGCCATAAATGAAGAGGTGTCTTATCGATCACAAGTTCAGTATGGAGTACCACAAGGCTCAGTACTAGGACCATTTCTTTTCAGCTTGTACATGCTACACTTAGGAGAAATCGGTAACACTTTACAATGAGGTTTCTTTTGTTAGCATTAGTTAATGTATTAACTAACATAAACTAACCATGAACAATACATTTGTTACTGTATCTGTTAATCTGTGTTAATGTTAGTTAATAAAAATACAGCTGTTTAATGTTTGTTCATGTTACTTCACAGTACATTAATGTTAACAAATACAACATTTGATTTGAATAATGTATTAGTACATGTTGAACTTAACATTAACCGAGATTAATCAATTCTGTAGAAATGCAGTTGATTAATACTTCATGCTCATTAATGTAGTTAACTAATGTTAACTAATGAAACCTTATAAGTGTTACCGAGATATCATTAGAAAGCATGGCGTTAGTTTTTACTGTGATGCTGCTGATACTATTTTTCTTCACGACCTGACGAAACTTACCAATTCACAAAATTAACAGAATGCATAGTTGATTTAAACAACTGGATGACTAGTAATTGCCCACAACTTAATTCTGAAAAAACAGAGGTTTTAATTATTGGACCAAAAAACCTCTGCACGTAATAACCCAGAATACTGTCTAACACTGATGACTGCTCTGTCAAGTATTGTACCCCTATTGCACAACCTAATTGTTCGACCAGATCTACTAGAGTTTAAATCCTCAGCTGAGGGCAGCTCCGTCTCATCGACCTTCACCATCAGCTCTGGATATTGCTAATAGGGACAGAGTAGAGACCCTGGCCCTATGCTCAATCATACTAGGTTAGTGTCCTATCCCTGAAATATTCCCAGCTGATGTTTGTGGGGTACTCACTATACCTGTAACAGTACTATGACTGTCCATATTTTCCTCATTGTTGACTTTACATTCAGAAATAACACAACCCTGAAGTGACAGATCACTTTCTGAAAGTCACAATGCACTGACATTTTCATTACAAATTCTGATCGTTTTTTTTTTTTCTGATTCACAACGTCATCACCGTCATCTCTTTTAGGATAACAGGATGTGGCCTCACAAATGGGTCCCCAGTGATCTGTAGTCGCTGATCTCTGAATCCGGGTCATGGCACCAATCTGTAGCAGACTACTCATATCACCCATAAACCCCCACTGACATTGCCTTTTTTGTGCCTTCTGCAAACATAAAATGGAACAGTGTTACAACAATTGTCTCTGTTAAACAATGTCTCCTTAGAGTGCTTTCTGTAACCAGGGAATATAGCACTGATTGAAGAAAGGGGTATATCAAATATATAGTACAAAGTATAAAGCACTGTGTGAGCAGCTATGTGAATACATGGCACAGCAGCTGAATTATCACAACGTTGCCTCTCAAAAAGTAGCCTTTTGTTTCAGTTGTTTGCAGGTGAATATCCACTTCATCTAGCAATGTTTGTTCTCTGTGTTCTAATGTATGTCAGTAAACTGTACTGTCTGTTTGACTGACTGAGATACCGCTTCAGATGATTCAGTGAGAGGGTTTTTGCAAACCCACTCGAGCAACTCACATGCATTGAAATGAAAAAAAAAAAACACCAATAGAATTAATGATTAATTCACACATTATTGGTTCAGTAAAAGGAAATATGGGACACAAGTAATAACTTCTGAAATATTTACAGGGAAAATGTTTCTCATGGTACGCATCCCAGACAGCAACATAGTGCCGGCCCAGATGCGGCCCACATCTGGTTACGTGTTGAATCCACATGTACCAGATGTGGGCCGGATCTGGGCCGACATTATGTTGCTGTCTGGAACAGCGAATACGCGTATTGTTCAAAGAGCTATTTAAGTGGTTTGAACAACCTTAAATGAAAATAACTAAATAAGAGACTTTTTTTACTTGGATAGAATTACAGAGCCTAAATAAGCAAAATACAGGATATCGGACTCTTAACATCCTATCTGTTGGCTGACACGATACCTTCAATAACTCCCTGTACACGTCCCACAGATTCCTAAGACAAAACGTTCTACAACTTAATATTAACAATTATTATTACAGGTTAAAATTATAATTGAGTGAAATTTCTTGTCTAAGAAACTCATCTGTATATTGTTCCTTTGAGAGAGATGAAGGTTATTCCATGCACTTTTGTCTTGAAGGAAGAAAGCAAACTGGATCTAACCAGCAGAGAGAGAAGTGGACGGCCCAGGTGCAAGAGAACAGAGTGAAGACTCGAGGATGCATGAGCTGTCATTACTGCACGTAGATGATTCTTTGATGAACAGAACGTTTGAAGAATAACATTTATTTGAAATAGAAATAGTCATTTGTAACATTATACATGTCTTTACTGTGATTTTTCAACAATGTAACGCATCCTTGCTGAATAAAGGTATCAATATCTTACAAAAACATAAACATTTCATAGTAATTCCAAACTTTTTATGATAGTGTTTTTTTAGAGAGATTTCCACTATGTTCATTTTTTTTTAAATACCTCTTTTATAAGTATTTTATGTCCCCTATTGTCATCATTGTCAGATATCCATGAAAACATTTAAAAATCAGGTAATAACAACATCAGCCTTCATCGTGAATGTCTTCATCCATATTTCATCAGCTATGAGTTCAAGATAACACAGCCTTTGGTTATAGTTTATATTTATTTATATATCAGATACTCTAGATACTCATGCTTTAGTTTCTTTTAACCATAATATGGAAACTCCGCCACAGAAGTTGAAATTATATTAAATTATTTTTTTTATTTTCTTAGAGGGTTCTACAACTCTGGGAATTCAAAATGTTACTGCATTTAATTAATATCCAAAACATGGTCATTTTGAATGATAGATTTCTCAAGTCACTACATTACCACACTATTAGTATGCACTATTTTTGTATGTGATCATTTTTGTCAACCTTAACTGAAAGAAAGAACTTTTTTAGTAAATTCATTGTAGTTCTTGGAGTTGAGTTGGAAGCTTCCAGATAAAAAGGAACTAGTAAAAACCTTGAGCGCTGATGCCTTGAGTTATACGGCAGATACTATGTATTATTAAAAATGTTTGTAAATTTTAGTTGTAAGTTTGACTCATGTTGTTTGTCTGAGCAACCATGATCTATTGCTTTTTTTCAGGAGGCATTTGACTTTATTTATTGGAAGGTGTTCATAAAAAACAAACAAATGTCACATGTTTTTGGAATTAAAAAAAGAAGAAAAAAAAATCCGATTTGCTTTAATGTGAGTAAATGTATATGTTGGTTGGCTGCATGTGCTGGTTTTCAGCTGACTGCAGAGAAATCCACACAAACAGAAGAGCGCCCCCTACAGGCAGCAGCCAGAGCTTCTTTCATAAACATCTCAAAAGACACAGTGCCATCTGTTGGTTATGGCCATGGATGGGAGTCTGTAACCTGGGCACAACATTTTGACCTGGTTTTTGTGAATATTTGTGAATTTTCCTGACTTAAGCTAATTCTGAATATACATGTACATATATGTAATTTTGATTCTCATTTCAGTCATTTTTACATCAAGTGTCATATGATTTACTATTTTGGTCTTTGTGTTTAAGGCAAGCGTAATTTAAACTGATGTCTACACTGACATTCGAAAGGCAGGCTGACAACTGAAGACATGAATGGCAAAAACGAATCATGAAATAGAGCATTAGATATCAGAGTCCCGTTTTTTTTTTACTATTCTCACCATTAGACAGGTTTTTCAATTATAGTTTAGAGACTGTGTCATTAGTTTGTCTCTTTATTGTCACTCATCTTCGGGTTTATTTTTCATTATGCATTACTGAATACATTCATATCTGTTAGTACTCCAAGATGTCCAAGAATTACGAAATTATTAGTAAATCCAGTGTCATATTGCTCAATTAAAATATCTTCTCTTTGTTGCGTGTCTTACACAAAACAGGCCACACCATCTACAAACAGGTGAATCAGATACCATTCATTCAAGGAGCTGCTGGAGAAAACTGCATATAGACGTTTAGGTTTCTTCCACGGTTCTCTCTTTGTGTCACACATGCTCTGCAGCTCATCAGATGAAACTACCGTTACGCAGTCACAAAAAGCTCCAAAAGAGGAAAAAAAGACAAGAGAACCCAACAGTTTCACTTTTCTAATCAAACCAGATGTGTGCAAACATGACTAAGGACTTTATTTACCAAATCTTTTTTTTCTCTCCCTGTATTATCCACAAATAAAAGTGATTTCTTCATGTGTATGTATATATTTATATATATATTTATATGTATGTTATAACATATCTTATAACATATAATGTCATAACATATATTACAACATTATATATTCCCTTAGTGTGACAAAAAAATCTCTTGGATTATTTTTTTTTTATTTTCAGGTCCCCATGCAGTCCTTAGAAAGCACAACATTCTGAGACGACTGGAAACTGTGGACGTGTGTCCAACCTCCAAGTTGGACTCGTTGTCCTTCCTCCATGTCTTCTGCGATCGTCAGATACACAGGCGCGATAAACAGCTACGAAATTTGCCGATCACACCTCGTCGTTTCATCAAAACAGTAGAGTCATGGATAAAGAAAGCAACGTCTTCCCGCAGAGCTGACCACACCCCGCCTTTTTAAACCATTTTTTGATAATTTTTCTCTATTTTTATATAATAATAATAATGACTATAGAATTATCCTTGATATAAATTCAAAAGTAGTTCCTCTGTCAATTTAAATAAATAATTTTGGCAATCTTCATAACGGTGGTATTTAAAATAAATGAATGATTACGTAAAAAATCCAACTTAATCAGAAAAGAGGGCAAGAGAAGAAGGAGAGAAAAATAAAGTGTAAAAAAAAACAGCAGAGAGAGAGGAGAGAGAGAGATGAGAAAGACAGAAAGAAAGTCAGATGCAAAGAAAACTATCCACTTCTTTAGGAATTCAGAATGTATGTACAGGACTCATCTCTGAATCAGAAAAGCGCTCGTCTTTGCAGCGGGTCCTCACGTTTTGTGTGTGTGCGTGACAGTGCAACGTGGTCCGTAGCTGTAGTCCTGTGTTATACAAGTGTGTAGGACTTTGCGTAGGGGTTGTTGCTTTGTTTCAGGTGTCCTCTGGAGTCTAACAGCGACTCCTGGGAGCTGCTGAGTTTGGCAGCCTGGGCCAGGTCGCCCGGCTCGCGCTGTGGCAGTGTAGAGGCAGTTCCCGGCTGCCACTGCTGTACCGCCTCTCTGCTGGGGGGCCCGGAGGAAGAGAGGGCTGACGAGGGGGTCTCGGAGGGTGTGGGGGCCAGCAATGCTGGCCGCTTCGCCAATCGGCTCTTCTGTGGGTCCATACAAGTCTGTCCTGTGGCCTCCCGACCTGAAGGGGCCGCTCCCCGGTTCAAAAGGAAGTCCATACGTAGGTAAGGGGGAAGATGGACCAGCTCACCTCCTACGAGACAGACAGGGTCATGTAAGTGTGAGCACAGCTCAAAGATCAGATTTGCTTTGCACAATGTGATAAATAAGGGGGGGATGGATGGAGAGAATAGTCTTTAAAGGAATGTTCTGGGTTCAAATCAATCTGCCAGTTTCAAGCTATATCAACAGCATAGGACAGGGCATAACAGGATAGGTGAGGTTTACCCTTTAGTCAATGTTGTTTTCTGTTTACGAGTGTACAAAATGTCATTGAACATTATTTATAGTGCACCTATTGGTTAAGTTTAGGGTTGGACAAGACAGGACAGGATAGGGTAGATTTACAATAGGATAGGGAAGGTTTGTTTTAGGTAGATATGTTATGGTAAAATAGGTTATGTTTAGAGTAGGAAAGGTTAGGACAGAACAGGACAGGACAGGACAGGATAGATTTGCTTTAGGGTAGGATCGCGTAAACTAGGATAGGTTAGGTTTAGGGTATAGGATAGAGTAGAGTCGAGTATGATAGGTTAAGTTTAGGATAGGATAGGATAGAATAGGATAGAGTCGTGTCGTGTCATGTCGTGTTGAGCTGAGCAGAGTAGAGTCAAGTATGATGATAGGTTAGGTTTAGGATAGGGTAGAGTCGTGTCGTGTCGAGCAGAGCAGAGTAGAGTCAAGTATGATGATAGGTTAGGTTTAGGATAGGGTAGAGTCGTGTCGTGTCGAGCAGAGCAGAGTAGAGTCAAGTATGATGATAGGTTAGGTTTAGGATAGGATAGGGTAGAGTCGTGTCGTGTCGAGCAGAGCAGAGTAGAGTCAAGTATGATAGGTTAGGCTTAGGATAGGGTAGAGTTGTGTCGACTCGAGTAAAGTAGAGTCGAGTCGAGTAGAGTAGAGCAGAGCCGAGTCGAGTCGAGTCGAGTAGATTCGAGTAGAGTCGAGTCGAGTCGAGTAGAGTGGAGTCGAGTAGATTCGAGTAGAGTCGAGTAGAGTCGAGTAGAGTCGAGTAGAGTAGAGCAGAGTCGAGTATGATAGGTTAGGTTTAGGATAGGATAGGGTAGAGTTGTGTTGTGTCGAGTAGAGTAGAGTAGAGTAGAGTAGAGCAGAGTAGAGCAGAGCAGAGTCGAGTAGAGTCGAGTATGATAAGTTAGGTTTAGGATAGGACAGGATAGGGTAGTCATGTTGTGTCGTGTCTTGTTGAGTCAACTCGAGTAGAGTAGAGTAGAGTAGAGTAGAGTAGAGTAGAGTAGAGTAGAGTAGAGTAGAGTAGAGTAGAGTAGAGTAGAGCAGAGTAGAGCAGAGCAGAGCAGAGCAGAGTCGAGTAGAGTAGAGTCGAGTATGATAGGTTAGGTTTAGGATAGGACAGGATAGGGTAGTCATGTTGTGTCGTGTCTTGTTGAGTCAACTTGACTCGAGTAGAGTAAAGTAGAGTAGAGTACAGCAGAGTAGAGTCGAGTATGATAGGTTAGGTTTAGGATAGGATGGGGTAGAGTCGTGTTGTGTCGAGTCAAGTCAAGTCGAGTAGAGTCGAGTATGATAAGAGTAGAGTAGAGTAGAGCAGAGTAGAGTCGAGTATGATAAGAGAGAGTAGAGTAGAGCAGAGCAGAGTAGAGTCAAGTATGATAGGTTAGGTTTAGGATAGGGTAGAGTTGTGTCGACTCAAGTAGAGTAGAGTAGAGTAGAGTAGAGCAGAGCAGAGTAGAGTAGAGTAGAGTCGAGTAGAGCAGAGTCGAGTAGAGTAGAGTCGAGTTGAGTAGAGTAGAGTCGAGCAGAGTCGAGTAGAGTAGAGTAGAGCAGAGTAGAGTTGAGTAGAGTCGAGTATGATAGGTTAGGTTTAGGACAGGATAGGGTAGAGTCATGTTGTGTCGTGTCTTGTTGTGTCAACTCGACTCGAGTAGAGTAAAGTAGAGTAGAGTAGAGCAGAGTAGAGTCGAGTATGATAGGTTAGGTTTAGGATAGGATAGGGTAGAGTCGTGTCATGTCGAGTCGAGTCGAGTATGATAAGAGTAGAGTAGAGTAGAGCAGAGTAGAGTTGAGTATGATAAGAGTAGAGTAGAGCAGAGTAGTGTCGAGTATGATAAGAGTAGAGTAGAGCAGAGCAGAGCAGAGTAGAGTAGAGTCGAGTATGATAGGTTAGGTTTAGGATAGGATAGGGTAGAGTCGTGTCATGTCGAGTCGAGTCGAGTATGATAAGAGTAGAGAAGAGTAGAGCAGAGTAGAGTTGTGTATGATAAGAGTAGAGTAGAGCAGAGTAGTGTCGAGTATGATAAGAGTAGAGTAGAGTAGAGCAGAGCAGAGCAGAGTAGAGTAGAGTCGAGTATGATAGGTTAGGTTTAGGATAGGATAGGGTAGAGTCGTGTCATGTCGAGTCGAGTATGAGAAGAGTAGAGAAGAGTAGAGCAGAGTAGAGTTGTGTATGATAAGAGTAGAGTAGAGCAGAGTAGTGTCGAGTATGATAAGAGTAGAGTAGAGCAGAGTAGTGTAGAGCAGAGCAGAGTAGAGTAGAGTAGAGCAGAGTAGAGTAGAGTAGAGCCGAGCAGAGTAGAGTAGAGTAGAGTAGAGTCGAGCAGAGTAGAGCAGAGCAGAGTAGAGCAGAGTAGAGTAGAGTAGAGCAGAGCAGAGTAGAGTAGAGCCGAGCAGAGTAGAGTAGAGTAGAGTCGAGCAGAGTAGAGCAGAGTAGAGTAGAGTAGAGTAGAGAAGAGTAGAGTAGAGTAGAGTAGAGTAGAGTAGAGTAGAGTAGAGTAGAGTAGAGTAGAGTAGAGTAGAGCAGAGCAGAGCAGAGTCGAGTATGATAGGTTAGGTTTAGTATAGGATAGGGTTGAGTCGTGTCATGTCGAGTCAAGTATGATAAGAGTAGAGTAGAGCAGAGTAGAGTTGAGTATGATAAGAGTAGAGTACAGCAGAGTAGTGTAGAGCAGAGCAGAGCAGAGTAGAGTCGAGTATGATAGGTTAGGTTTAGTATAGGATAGGGTTGAGTCGTGTCATGTCGAGTCGAGTATGATAAGAGTAGAGTAGAGCAGAGTAGAGTTGAGTATGATAAGAGTAGAGTACAGCAGAGTAGTGTAGAGCAGAGCAGAGTAGAGCAGAGTAGAGCAGAGTAGAGTAGAGTAGAGCAGAGCAGAGTAGAGCAGAGTAGAGTAGAGCAGAGCAGAGCAGAGTAGAGTAGAGCAGAGTAGAGTAGAGAAGAGAAGAGTAGAGCAGAGTAGAGTAGAGCAGAGTAGAGTAGAGTAGAGCAGAGTAGAGCAGAGTAGAGTAGAGTAGAGTCGAGTAGAGCAGAGTAGAGTAGAGCAGAGTAGAGTAGAGCAGAGTAAAGTAGAGCAGAGTAGAGTAGAGTAGAGCAGAGTAGAGCAGAGTAGAGTAGAGCAGAGCAGAGTAGAGTAGAGCAGAGCAGAGTAGAGCAGAGTACAGTAGAGCAGAGTAGTGTAGAGCAGAGCAGAGTAGAGTCGAGTAGAGCAGAGTAGTGTAGAGCAGAGTAGAGTAGAGCAGAGTAGAGTAGAGCAGAGTAGAGTAGAGTAGAGCAGAGCAGAGTAGAGTAGAGCAGAGTAGAGCAGAGTAGTGTAGAGCAGAGCAGAGTAGAGTAGAGCAGAGCAGAGCAGAGCAGAGTAGAGTAGAGTAGAGCAGAGTAGAGCAGAGTAGTGTAGTGTAGAGCAGAGTAGAGTAGAGCAGAGTAGAGTAGAGTAGAGTAGAGCAGAGTAGAGCAGAGTAGTGTAGTGTAGAGCAGAGTAGAGTAGAGTAGAGCAGAGTAGAGTAGAGTAGAGCAGAGCAGAGTAGAGTAGAGCAGAGTAGAGTCGAGTAGAGCAGAGTAGAGTAGAGTAGAGTAGAGTAGAGTAGAGCAGAGTAAAGTAGAGCAGAGTAGAGTAGAGTAGAGTAGAGTAGAGTAGAGTAGAGTAGAGTAGAGTAGAGTAGAGCAGAGCAGAGCAGAGTAGAGTAGAGTAGAGTAGAGTAGAGTCGAGTATGATAGGTTAGGTTTAGGAAAGGACAGGTTAGAACAGGACATGACAGGTTTGGTATAGAATACGATAAGGTTTGCTTTCCACAGTGTGATAAATGAGAACAAAAATGGATGGAGGAACTAGTTTTAAATTAATGTTCTAAATTTGAAATATAATTCCGGATTCAAGGTCTGTTGACACCATAAATCAGGAAAGTACAGGACAAGACAGGATAGATTTTGTATTGGATAAAATAGTCTTTGTATTGGATAAAATAGGTTTAGGGTAGGATAGGATAGGATAGGATAGGATAGGATAGGATAGGATAGGATAGGATAGGATAGGATAGGATAGGATAGGATAGGATAGGATAGGATGGGATAGGATAGGATGGGATAGGATTCAATTCAATTCAATTCAATTTAATAAAATGTTTCAATTCACATTGATTTGTATAGCACTTTTTCACAATACATATTGTTTCAAAGCAGCTTTACATAAAAATGCATGTCTACATTACAATTTAGAGTGATCTGTTATCAGAGGTGACTGATAGGATAGGATGGGACAAGAAAGTACTTTATTGATCTCCTCCTCATCCAGTTGTCTAAACAACTAGTAGAATTTATAAACTGTGAATCCTGTACGGATCAGACACATCTCACACAAAATGACGGAGTGCAGTATTATATACAACTTGTTCCAATAAGGCCAGTGATTAAAGTTTATATCACATCCAATGTCTCCATTGTGATAGTAAACTGCTGTTTTGTAAAGACAGACGATACCTCTACAGCACAGGATGCAGATCGCCCCTACTTGGCCTTAAGGAACAATGCCAGGTGCTCTCACTAACCAAAGTCTTCCTGTCTGGGGGATTAGTGCAGATACATTCACAATGAGACGGTAACACTAAACGCCAATCAGTAACCCAAGAACCGTCTGGGGCCTGAAATCAGCCCTGGGTGGCCCAGACGCAGGCCACGTTAAGCCCATCGATGCGAAAAGAACATGGCAGTGTGTTTGGACAAAAGCCTTCAAGCCTGTACCCATCAACACAGGAATTGATAGCACACTGCAAGAGTGACAGCTGACTGGTGAACAGGTAAACTGAGGAACACGTGGAAAAACACACTCGCACACATATATTACTGCTCGAAAGTTATAATAAGAATAATATAAGGAATAATTTCTATATTTCTATTTGCACAGTGTAAATAGCAACTAAAAGTATTTTCTTTACACTAAGTGCAAATAGTGTTAAATGCTATGTACACTGTGTAAATAGGATCTATCACTATTTATGTATGCAAATAGTGCCAGATACTATTTGCACTATAGTATATTATAAAATAGTATACAATAATAACATATTCAGTGTAAATGATTATATTTATTAAAATCATAAATGGATGCTGTCCCTAAAGCCCTCCCCTAACCCTACCCACTAAACACTTTATTCCCACTATCAAATACCTGTTAGGCACTTTATTTCCACTTATTCCCGAATATTTTCTGAATTTTTATTTAAAATAAATGCCTCCCTGAGCGGATACGTGATGGGAAAAAGGGCAGATTCAAACTCGGGTCAGTGGTGTCAGAAGTAAATGCCACCCGTCTTACTCTCCTGTTATCAGCAGGATTTATTTAATAATTTCATCTGGCTAAATCAAACGATGGTGGCCAGAGTTAGTGTAAATAGCCTCTGCCCACAAGGCAGGCTAGTTGCACCTGGTGTAAATAGATACTCATTTAAAAAAAAAAAGAAGTCTCTTATGCTCACCAAAGCCTGCATTTATTTGATCAAAAATAAAGTGAAAACAGTAATATTGTGTAATATTATTACATTTCGTGTGATCTACTGACGCAAATGAAAAAACACAGATGCAGCCGGATCATTCCCATAATGACTAAAGCAATATACCAAGAGCAGCACAAATTAGCGTCTGTTTTTAGACATGCTTTTTTGTGGCGTCAAATAATGGCACAAATACCATTAAATTGACTAGCGCAAACCTTAGTAAATCACCTTGCATGATTTATTTAAATAATCTCCTTCCATAAATTTTGCGCCTGAAAGGGTAACTCCAACAAATGCATATGCAATAAGGTCAGCCGGAAAAATAAATGTGTCCACGGCTTTACATTTTTCACTGCGTGTCTATAGTAAATCCTGACAGTAGTTTTTGACGGCAAAAAAGAACTTGCGCTGGTGCAAGCTGTTATTAAACCTGGCCCTAAATGTCTTTACTCTCACTTTTGATCAGTGTCATTAGCATTTCAGTAACCCTCTTCTTCAACTACCTTGCTCCATTCTGGTATGTAACACTCACTTTTTACAATCCAATCAAATCCTGATGGATATTTTTTTGAGTCCCTCCTTACTTTTTTTTCATGATGAATATCCTGTTCTACTCAGAAATATGTCCAGTTATGAAAGTAAAAGGACTAAAACAGTGTTTTGCTTGGAATATGGGATATTTAATAAAAGTAGAGACTCAATGATAATTAAACTCCACCCTAAAAACAGTGGAGATGACGTTCCCAGTTTTAAAATCAAGCGAGAATACAGCAAATTGGTTTTCTGAAAGCACAAATCGAGGTTAGGCAGTTGACGCTTCATCATGTTTGCAGCCTTACCGGGTCTGTGTGCTTTGGGCACGGCCATATTCATGACCCGGCTGGCGTCCTGTGGTTTAGGCGGGGAGGCTGTGAATCTGCAGATGCCTGACTCTGACGGCGTGCTGGACGTCAGGCTGTCTGTGTAGTCATTGGTGCCGGCCGTCATCTGTTCGGAGGATGTGTCTGAGATGAAGCATTCTGTGATCGTGAACTTAGCGTGTCGCAGCTGTTCCTCCATCTTGGCGTGTTCGTAGGCACGGGCTAGTTCCTCGTACGTGGAGGAGGCGCTTTCTGTAGACACCATACTGCTGCGAGCTCGGTCTGAGAGAGAGAATACACATGTCGTTATATATCACAAAGCTTTTTACCACATGGGTAACATGGGGGGGGGGGGGGGGGGGGGGGGGCTATCATACACCCCGCGAAATGCAGCGCCAGGCACGGCACAAGTGTTTTTTGCTAGTTTCAGCCCGACGCAGTTATCATTTTAATGTCCTGCGCCACGATGTTTAAATAGCAAATGCATTTGCGCCCATTTGTTCACCCATGGGCTGCTGCTCTGAAAACGAGGTGTGTTTTGAGGAAACTGAAATAGGCTGCGCAATTGACTAGGGCTGTCACTTTACGTTCGAAAATCGATTGCACAATCGATCGGACCAACCAACACAAGTTTCGAAAACGAAAATAGGGAATCGATTTTAACGGCCTTTTTACCAAAAATGTGTTTTAGGTGGACAGATCAATACAGTATCAGAACATGCAGGATGCTGGAAAATAACAATGTCTTTTCTGTTAACCAAATTCGCTATTACTTCAATGCAAGTGAACAAGCGCGCCGTTATTTGTTGCTTAGTGACGTGTGTGTGTGTGTGTGTGTGTGTTCAAGTAAGCCAGAAATGCGCAGATTCTGTGCAATACGCTGTATTTAATATATCATGAGGACTCACGAGTTACGTATTTGCGCTAAATCCGCGCAGATTTGTCTTACACGAACTTCCCCAGCAAAGTGAGTAAACACAGAAACACGCCAGATTGGCTCGTGATTTGACAGCGTTTCCCGACAAAGTTCATTTTTACCCGCGTTTGGCGGGTCGGAGGGTGTTCATTTCAATCCCTGAATGTTGCACTCCTGTTTATCATTGTGCACGAAACTTCACGCCAATAAATCATCAGAAATATTGCGACTTGTGCGCGTCTCAAGCGCCCTCTTTACGCGCGTCCTAATGCCTGTTAGGTGTCCGTGGATTTGCCTGTATTTGGTGTTGAAAAGGGAAACGTCTTTAGACATGGAAAATCGATTTTACAATCGATTCAATGAACACTTATGTGTCAAAAATCTATCAGGATTTTTCCACAAAAGTGACAGCCCTACAATTGACCAACTGAAACCTGGTCTAAAGTCAATGGTGCAATATTTTTTTGTTATTTAAAGGGCGCATTAGTAATATGCGCCCATTGGCGGGTCCACAACGCGCGTACACTCTGCTTATTACACACACAGGGCACACAAACATGCCAAATATTACAAATAAAAGGATTACAATGTAAAAGATTAATATTGTGTACATAAAGATATGGTGAAATCCGGCTTGTCTCATAGATGGTCTTTAACCTCGCACACGAGCGAATGGGAGATGAGACTCTGATTGGTTAATTGCACGTTATGCCCAAAACACACCCTTTACTCATTAAGAGAATAGGGACAACCCTTTTAGACCATGCGCCGAGAGCGCCGACCGTTTTTCCCGTCGTTAAACAAGCAAAAGTGGATTCGCACTTGAGCTGTGCGCTTTAGACCATGCGCTTAGATCGTTAAAATAGGGCCCGGGATGTCGAAGCAATGTCAACTGAAACAAAGTAGTTAAAGGGGTCACATCTTATCATAACTTTTTTTTTACCTTGAGGTCTGGTAATATATTCCACTGATAATGTCAGTCAAGGTTTCTTGCACCCAAAAAGTGTCATAACCACCTTCTTTCTGCCAGCTTTTCCTATTATTCTGTGGAAATGACATGATTGGCTAATGCTTTTCCTGTGAAATTAGCAACACAATTTAATAAAAAGTTGTGAGTTTGCTGTCCCAAGCAACCAAATCTTTCATGAAAAAAAGTAATCCACATGAATCGAGCAGTTTAATACAAGTCTTCTGAAGAGACACTGCCGCTTTATATAACGAACACATTAACTTTACGAAGTCTTTATGAACTTTTTGAAGCCTGAAAATGTTGAAAGTCTGAAAAATTCCAATGGATGGACAAAAGTGATGAGAGGATATTACAAATATCTTAATTTGTCTTCCAAAGATGAATGTAATCTTATAAGTTTGGAACAATGTGAGGTTGAGTAAATTTCCATTTTGGTTGAACTAACTCTTTAAAAATAATGTGATGTTCTGGTATTCAGCTGTCCTACTTCATCCTTATTACTTCACTATGACTGGGCAGGCCAAGTGGCAGAATAGGCGTTGGCGTAAATACGGATAATAATAGTTATCTGTATGACATCAGAAAATCACAGATTTTGGGACAAAACCATGCTGTTTTTGGACTGGGGAGGACGTTTTGAGATCTAAAAGTGATCCGAGTAAACAGAAGCTGATATCTGTTACCTGTGTCCTGAGAGGGACTGACACTGTAGCTGTCGCTCTCTTTGTCCACTGAGCCCGTGGCGCGGGGTGTGGGCAGCCTCCAGTCGGTAGTGAGAGTGTGTGAGGAGACGGGGGGATGTGGTCGGTTCAGGGTCCACTGGCTGGCGTAGCGACTGCGTGTGGCGGGACCTGCTTTAGCCGTGCGGCGGGCAGTGGGGTCTGAGGGAACAGAGACATACACCCGTTAAAACTGTACAACTGTACCGTGTGTCAGGCCTAAAAGTGTAGATTGAACACACCGCAAAGGCAACAGCCAACCAGCATTATGTTCTGTGCCTGCGTGAGAGGAAATAATTGTCTATGTCAACAAGTGGCAGTAGTCTATATTCGTCATTCATAAACCATAAACAAAACAGCGCTTGCCTACCATTTTGAATATTAATCAATGTTGATCACTTTCGACAATCAAGACGGCCTTGTCGTACTGAAAATATTTTGGGGTGGGATACATTAAAAAGTAAGTCCTTTTGCAAGAGTAAAATATAAAAGAAGTATCTATACTTTCAGTGTAGTAGTAGCTCATTACGGTATATGCACTTAAAGATGTGTGTCCACCACCGATGTATGAATCCTTTGAAAATGAATCTATGAATTCTGTCCAGGAATCTTTGCTATAGTATTTTATGATTTGCGATTCACAAATTCTGATCTTGCATACTATGTACATCTGCTAGACTACTTTTGGTCAGTTTGTTGATGCCATTTCTTATTACTGATTGTGACTATGAAATCATCTACACGAATGGGTGCATTAATGAGACTTTATGACATCAACAGAACCAAGCCCATAAAGTTCAATTCTTACTTGTACCAGGTCTAGCGTCAGACACGTCTACTAGCGGTCCAGTGGCCTGAGATAGAGACTGGTAATGCACTGTATGGGTGACGGTTGAGGACTTCTGTTTAGATGTTTCTCCAAAGTCATTATCCGTCAATAGCACTGTGGAGCGGTCATCTGAAAGAAAGAAGAAAACAGGTCAATGAAAGCAGAGAAGACCATCACGCAATAAACATTTTCTTATAAACATGATGTTATTGGTTATTTCCTCAACAAGCCACATGGCTCCATTAATCACTCACTGTATTCCCATTTTAGAAAGCATGACTAAATTATACACTGCAAGAGTAGAAGAATTAGGAACCATGTGAATGAGAAGACAACATGTTGATCAATATGAAAATAGGAAAACATAGTTACGCCCTGAGCTAAAGACGGCCACCTTTAGGAGTTGGTCAACCATCAGAGTTTAAAAACTCATGACTCATTTGAGCTAAATTTACCCGTTTCTCTTACGTTTGCACAAACGGTGCAGGATGAGTTATGTGAAAATGTTTAAATACTTGGGTTGTTAGGTGTTTGTTAGAAAAGGGCAAACCCCTAACATAACATAATGGTCACTTACCGATTGTCTCCATAGTGTCTCTCTCCTCGATGAGTAGCTGAGCACGTGGGATATCGATGTGCATCCTCAGAGTCTGCTGCTGTTTGTTCACGGTGTCTGGTGTACGTGCATTTTTACTGGAGAAACACATCCAAACAACAGAAAACAATTACACGCACTACTTTATGACGAAGTGCACTTGTTTATAAGCCGACGCTATAGTTCTTTACCTCATTAGCATCTCTGCTAGGCTCTTTGCATCTGTTGAATTAAGAGAAATGAGGAAGATATGAATTGCAAAACATTGATGACAAGAAGACATTTCTGGAGTGTCCTCAAGGATCTATGATGTTCTGTTTGCAAGATACGGCATGTGTCCACAGACCTCGTAATCTCTTGAGTCTCTGCTCTCTTCTCCTCCTCCTCAATACCAGAAGAACAATGAAGACCATCGAGATTGCCACCAGAATGCATATGATTGTGACCATCATCTTTAGTCCTTCATTGCCCTGCCTGTTCTCCTGGCTGGGGTCCACAGTCTTTGGCAATGGAGCAATTGTGCCTGGAGAAAGAAGATTGAGTAGTTCTGGTCAAGGTCCGGTCATAACCAAGTTTTGATATCTACTCATTTTTTAGTCCATTTTCATTTTCCATTTTAGTCCGTAAACCAGCTTATTAGTTATGCCATTTAAATGATTAGTTCACTTCAGGATTACAATTTCCAAGATACTAATGTCTTTCTTTCTTCAGTCGAAAATAAATTTTTGAGGAAAACATTCCAGGATTTTTCTCCAAATAGTGGACTTCATCAATGTTTTAAATTCTGAAGTGAACTAATCCTTTGAATGGCATAACTAATGTTCAGACAAGGAAGCAGCATTTTTGCCTTTGGACAGCATGGCGATGCTGGTTTACCATTTAGACCAGCAGCAAATCAACACTAAACAGCATAAACCAGCAGAAAATACTTTAAGCAACTGCTTCCGAACACTGAATTGAGTAGTCGCTGATCTAGTACTCACTGCCATCCACGTTTAAAGTTGCGAAAAGCACCCTCTTCTCTGCTGTCCCTGCGCTGTTGCCCACTCTCATCTGGAGCTCGTACCAGGTGGCCTCCTGTAGGTCGTACAGAATGTGGCTCTTGGTGAGGGAATCCCGCTTTACCATGGTCCATTTCATAGTGTCCACGGGCCGATATTCCAGTGTGAAGGAGTCGATCGGACAGCCACCGTTGTTCCAGCCAATGAGGTTGAGCTCCACACGGGTAGAGTTGATACTTGAGAAAAGCTCATGGTCTTTGGCGAACTGTGGCTCTGATAATGTGGAGAAGAAAGAGATTTTGTAATTCTCAAGTTAGAGAAAACTGTCAAACTTCGAGGAATTAAAATATAATTAAATCTATGGCCTTTTCATTTAGCAGGGAGTTTCATCTGAAGTTACTTCTACTGATTAACAATCCCTTGAAACCAAAATAAATAGTCCCTTTGGACTTTGTCTCTCTGCTCATAGAGATCAATATATATTATAAAGCTCGTATTGAGCAAAATTTGGGCTTGTAAATGTTCTTGTTGAACAGAATGGATGTTTGTGATTTAATGTAATTGTAAGTTTAATTCGGGCCTGTGCTCGTGCTGAGCGAGCGGTGTTTTGCTGTTTTGAGACTGAAAAATAAAATCCCAAACGAGAGAATCTTGTCTGTTGTTATTCGGTTTTAACATCAGACACAGACTTCGCCAGACGTTATGCTGCTATTGCCTGTGGATTTGATAATCATTTGATAACTAGCGTGTATAAACCTTAATGAAACAATCTAATATCTATTTAAAAGGAACTGCATCATATGAGTCGACTCAATGTCCACTATAATTTTGGACACATCTACAAATGGCTATCCCTTCAAATAATGCAATATAAATGGGCATAGGGGGATTAGCTTTGGATAGCTTTGACGCCTATGCCTATGTTTTGACGTGTATGCTAGTTAATAAACCGAAAGCAGATTAAGTAAACACATTGCAGGAACACAGATCAAAAGTATTGATACAATCATCTCCTGCTCAGGGGTGTGTATACATTTTTGTCTTCTAAAATGCAATCCAGAATGATAATGAATACATTAGGAATTAGGAAGTAGCAAACCATGGCTTTGTTCGGAATAGCATATTAATATACTAAACTTATTATTTCACATTATTATTATTATTGTGTTCTTAAATTTTGCCATTTGCCATTCATAAAAAAGGATTAACCTTCAGCATGGTCTCCCAACTTGTTTAAATAGTATGTATGTGAACACTAATGAAAAACATTCTAAACTGTTGGTTGAATCAGCATTCAGTTACGATTCAGTTTGGTTACGTTCAGTTCTCAGTCACGTACTTTAGCCACTAGAGTTTGCCATAATTAACTAGGACGTAAATTACACAGATTTGTACCTTTCCCGTGGGTTTTAGCCTCAATGATTTCACTGATGCGTCCAGGACCAACTGCATTCTGTGCAGTTAGAGTAAATTTGTACCAAGTGCCACACTTCAGATTCTCAAGACGGTAAGACCGCTCACTGGGGCTGATGGAGAAACTGCCCCACTCTTCACTGTTATCCTCAGAGTACTGCAGAATGTAGCCTGAACAGAGAAACACCACACCACCTTATGCTCAGTACTTGTGTTCATTTTGACAGATAAACCCCAAATGCCAAACGTTATTCACTGTTACGTGCACTGTAAATTGATACAAAGCCCCTACTGTACTATGCAATGTTGACCTTTAAGGTCATCAAAATATTACACATTAATGTGGATGAAAATATGGGATACAAATATCAGTGCAGCCCAACCTCTGATGGAGCTCCCTCCATTGTCTCCAGGAATCCAGAACAGCGTGATGGAGGTGGTCGTGGTTTTGGTCACTGTGAGGCGTGGTTGGTCCGGAGGTACTGGAATATTTTGAGAGTAAACACACAAAAAATAGTGTCATTTGTCAGCCACTAAAAGCGCATTTACCACTGTTCGCCAAATGTCTGTGGGAGAAAATCATTCAGTACAATAGAAATTTAAAGGATTTTCACATGCAGATTTCATGCAAGCGTTGCCCAACAGAAAGCTGCTTGGTTTGAAAGTGACTTCTGTAAGAGCTGTGCTCATACATCACGACACTATTGACAATTTACCTTTTTGCGCACAAAATTTCGCTGTGACCCTCACTATTTATTGGCTACATAATTTTTTCCCCTTTTTTTTACAGATTTGTTTTCACATTGTACAACAATACTGAGTGTGAATCATGTGGTTTGGTGTTCCTAGTTAAATCTGTTAGTAGCATTTTTTTTTTTTTTTGCATTGACTTGCTACTTTCTAACAAAAAAACACTAAAATCGCAATGCACAAACTGTGTAAATACTTCAATACACAAAAAAAGCTGTCTCTGCAGAGTATATTCTGATTATTTGATCACAAACACACCTTGGACCTGAAGATTTAGCATGATCTCATCTGAACCCCAGTTATTGCTGGCAACACATCTGTAGTACCCAGAATCCTCTGCTTTGATGGTACGAATAACAAAGCTGCCATTGCTGTGAGCGCTGCGACGACCATCGATTGAAACTGGAGCAGGTGTACCATTACTGCAGGAAAACATCAGTTTCATAGCAAATAAAAAGCAAATAAGCAAGAATGAATTCATTCTGGTGTTTCATGCATGATTTGTAAAAATGAATTTACAAATAAAAGTTATATTTCCCCCAAAATCTTTAGAATACTTTATAATAAAAAAGACACATTTTGACAAGATTAACTAAATGACTTCTTCTTAAGCAAGTGCAAGAGTGTTTTGTCTGGCTAAAACAAAGGCTGGAGTTGAATAATTTCCATGTTTAAATGTTAAGAACTTATAAATCAAACATACTTTCCCTTCAGCCACTTGATGGTTGGAGGAGGGTCTCCGACTGCTTTGCATGGAAGGACAATGTCCCTCATCCAAGGGGTGGTCACTGTGCCACTGAACGTCAGGATTCGAGCAGGGGCTTGAGAAACAAACAATGCCGTGTCATTTTGCTCCTGCTATTGGTACAACAGAGTTCTGCAGGGATGATGTATTACCCAGATACGAGTTTTAGTACTTCCAGTGCCATCGTCCTGAAGTGAATGTTTTTTTTAATGGGTTTTTGGCTAATTGCCTGAAATAAGGTAATAAGGTTAACACAGACTCAAGAGTTTCTTTTAATTCTATGACATAGAATACATCAGTAATACCCTTTGCTAAAGCTTTTATTTGTCTTGAACAAGTGGCTAAATGGGATTATCGAGTTTGTTGGGGAAATGAAACATCATTACACTGAACATGAAAAGACATTACTCATTAGTCCACTTTCACAGCCTCATTGAGTTTATAATCACAATCTTGCAAAATATTCTAACTAAAACTTTCAGGGAAAACACAGACTGGAAACCGTGTCAAGTTAGCTTAATGGTGGTGACATTAAAGTCACGTGACCGTGGTGCAGCTCATTTATAGCCTAAGTTTAGCTTTTTGCTTCTGGCAATTGTTTTTAGGCTTCAAAATTCACAGAAGTTGTGTTCATTTTTGATGATTATCATGATGAACAAAACATGTACGATTCATAAGCTTTTGTTGGTCAAAGAGCTTTTTTGTTGTTGTTGCAATAATCCAAAAGCCAATGGAAAAATCCTATTGGGTTTTTGTTGAGGGAATCAGGGTGATGCAAACTTACAACAATACGTCATCCCTGTAGAACTCTATATGGCTGCATTTGTATAAAGTTGTGAAGAGGGTGATTGATTGCCATGTGCCAGTCTTCCGTACCTTTAGCTTGGGGCTCTACGGTGATAATCTCGCTGGTATTCCCACGACCCGCCGCAGTGACCGCCACAACCCAGATGCTGTACTGCCAGTTCTGGTTCAGGTTGGTCAAACGACGGAAGTAAACATCAGGAGCAGCCTCAAACTCACTGATCACCTGTAATGGCACCCGATGAAAAGCTTTCATGAGAATAACAACAAACAAAAATACACTCTTTCATTGTTTTTACATTTAGGACATTGGTGTCCAATCCCACTCCTGAGTTCTGCTCCAACAAATCTGCCTGCAAGTTTCTAGTGCTTCTAAAGACCTTGATTACCTGGTTCTGGCGACAGCGGGTTTCACATTGCACGGCTTTACAATAGGAAGAATTGCAGACAACTCTGTCTGGTCTGTAAACTACGTTTCACACTTAAACCCCTGTGAGAAGTGATAAGGAAATAACGCAAGATCACGCGTGAGACTGAAATTGTTATTAAAAATGGTAGCCCGCAAGAAGCTTGTGATACAAATTGTCTGTGTCACTGATTTGCAGTGAACAAGGAGAAAAAGAAAAAAAAAGATTACGGAGGAGGAAATGGTTGGGGAGACGAGGGGGAACAAGGATCGTGTGTTCTGCAAAGAGACTTGGAGGTAAATAAATAAATTTGCAATGTGCTACTGTTGCGGCTGGTCAAGCAAATGTTTGTGCTTTGTTTCTGTTTGATATAAGTTTAAATATTTTTATTAAAATAGCGATATTCTAGTCTTTAACTCCTCCCCGAACTTCCCGTTGCCCTGTATCTTGCTCTCTCATTGGCTGTAGGTCATCGCCGAAGTAATTTTCAGTCAGAACACATTTCACACAACAGGATTTTGACACCTGAAAAAAGCCAATCAAGGTCTCAGGATTACAAGAAAGCTACAGACTGGGTTGGAGCTAAACTCTGCAGGACATTGGACCTTGAGGGCCAGACTTGCCCAGCCTTGGCTAACAGATATACACTGCCTACTATTTAAAAAAAAAAGGAAACAGTATATATTAAGCAATAAACATTCAAGCTGAATTTGCAAGTAGGTCATTCAGGTGTCCTATACCTATATATACTTTCGTAGGTGGCAAAACCGCTCGTTAAGTCTGATATCACAAGTCACTATTTCCGGTAGATGGTATATACACCGTGAGTTTATAAAAGCTTACCTTAAATATGTAATATAAATAAATAGTGCTCAATAATGGCTTTTCAAGTAGTATTCTCTTTTGAAACGAGTGGAGGCTTGGACCTGGAATTACTTAACAAGCGGATATAGTATATCCAAAGTAAGAGTGTTCTCTTACTTCAATGTTTCTAGAGGCACCTCAGCACTACACATTTTCGATCTCTACCTAATCAAACACTCCAGAATAAATTAATCAGCTCATTAGTAGACTCCCAAGACCAAAAATAGATGGGTCAGATAAGGGAAACTTAATGTATGCTTTTGGGAGTGCCTCCAGGAACATGATTTGAATTCGGGGAATAAAATACTGTTTGGTAAATCATGATATTTGGATATACTGTTTGGGGTGCGCAGAGTCACACAGAGCCACAGCTTACGCTCACCGTGGGGTAAGGGTTGGAGCAGAAGACGGTGTATTTCCGGATGATCCCGTTGAGCTTGAATGGAGGCAGCCAGGAAACAAACACCACCGAGCTTGTGGAAGCAGCTGCCTTAACTCCAGCCGGAGGGCCAGGAACTGGTTTTAGCAAGAGAAATAACATCATTCACTGAGAAGAAGCACTTGAAAAGACACCTGGTATGCTACAAAGCAAGAGACCTACAGCTTCTAACTGCATGTAAAGGTGAGGTTTCTACATGGTTTTTCCAATCACCCCTATCATGTGGATTGGTTTTGCCTTTGGGTTGAGATGTCTGTGCAATGAAGTCAACCTACAAATGGCTTACTTAAGGCAGTTGTCATGATCCCGTGTTCCCCTGGTCTTGTGTGGACTATTTCCTGTTCTGCGCCATGTTTTGTTGTCCTTTGTTTTCTAGTTGATTCGTTCTTTGATTGTAAGGGGTTGTTGAGTCCATTGCAGAAGAAATCAATGAGAGCAAAGTCTGGGAGGTCAGTGAAATTAGCAATGTCCAGAAAGTCTTGGCTGTGGTCCAGGAGTGAGAGAGTTCCTTGGTGAATGCGGACTAGGGTGACTGCTGGATCCATATTGGCGAAGTCTTCTGTTATGGACTCAACAACCCCTTACAATCAAAGAACTAATCAACGAGAAAACCTACAAAGGACAACAAAACATAAAAGTCCACACAAGACCAGGGGAACACAGGCTGGGATCATGGCAGAGGTATCGCACTAGTTGACTCGAAATAGCTTAATGTTAGTCAGAGCTGTTGCTCCTAATGAAGGTTTGTGCTGAAATCTCTTCTGTCTGAGTTCTGTTTCACTTTTCAATCAAGAATGGAAGAGTGGTGACAAACTAAACTACTGCCTTTGACAATTCCCAGTCACTGATTGGCAAAATAACAGCTAGAGCACAAAATAGATAACTGTAATATATATTGAAATAGCATGCAATTTGTGCAGTGAATTTGATGTGGGATGTGTATTCGTTTTACCAGGATATGTTGTAAAAAGCATATGTCCAACTTAAGTGAGACAAAAAGTGTTAAGTGCAGAAAACCCCTTGCTGGGTATAGTCACCACGGATAACAACTGCCATTTGCAACATGTGCTTTGCGTTTGGATCAATGACTGAACAATCATTTCAAACCTGGCAGATGTTGTCGAAAGGGACTTGAAGATGTTGAAATTAAGTTTCGATTGAAGATTGGCAATAAGAACATCACCCTTTTTTTATTGTTTCTCTAGATTAAACTGAAAACGGGAAGTATGCTTAACTTAGTAAAAAATTGTAAAAGAATGCAAGTGTGTGCAATTGGAGGGAGTCTCACCGTCCTCTTTGGTGCGTGTGTAGATCTGCTCGCTACGAACGCCGTCTCCGGCTCGAGTGAAGGCCAGGACCTGGATACTGTAGTTGGTGTATTTCTCCAGCCGTTCCAACTCTAGTGAAGGCTTGGTGGTTGTGATGTTCCTGATCTCTCCCAGCTCTGCAACACAGACACACACGAACTGTTAACTGATCTGAGGAGGTCTCTTTAATAAATCAATTGTTTTTCTACATCGAACGGCAATTAAATGGAGATCAAATGAAGACGTACAGGTGTATGCTTACAGTAAATGGCCTGCTTCTCAATTCCCCCCTGAGGAACCACCCATAACCTCACTTGGATCTCTTTTTCAAGGACACAAGTGAGTTTCAATGACCTCAATAGTGTCTCAAACTGTGCTCAGACTTACCAAGATAGTCTGCCATTAAACTTCAAAGATTTCAAAATGAAACGTTTCTCATCAGATTGAAAGAAAGAAAGAAAGAAAGAAAGAAAGAAAGAAAGAAAGAAAGAAAGAAAGAAAGAAAGAAAGAAAGAAAGAAAGAAAGAAAGAAAGAAAGAAAGAAAGAAAGAAAGAAGGAAAGAAAGAAGGAAAGAACCCCACTATATGCTAAATTCATTCAGTCAAATTGTATGCATTCAAAACCAACACAAATTAAACCTCCTAACAAAATGTCTATATTTTGGCATGTGCCATATATCATGTCAGGGTTATATTACAATTTTATACATTTATTAAGTTAACTCTCATCATCATCATCATCATTTGCACTGGACAATTTATTGCATTTTGTATGGTCATAGGTCACTGTGTCCTCTACAATCCTACAACACACAACACATTTACAGACTGCAGCTTGTGCCAAACTCCCTTTTGATTTTTACCCTTGCATCAATATCTTATTGTAGTTAAATTATTAATGGCTCTGCAGTGCAGCCTGGAAAACGGCCACTGCTCTTTCTGCTGCGTGCTCTCTCATACTGACATTCATCATGCTTTCAAAAGATCACATAAGTGTTAAGAAGGTCACATTTTCTGAAGCCAAAACCTAATATTTGATCTAGAGTTTATCTTAAAAAAAGCTCCCTTTGTCTAAGCAACCGGTTGACATCAGGCCGAAGTCTGATCAAATAATGAATCAAAAATAGATCACATTATTAAAATCACATTATTATCACTTTGCATTATTATTATAGATTTTGGCAAGAGATTCTCAACCTTTGAGTCCCCCATTGTCCACAACAATATTCGAAGGCCCTTTAAAACCAAGGCTCGGAATAACTAGAAAAAATTATATTCATTATAAAAATCGTGTTTGATTTAAATTTTCTGTAAGATTTTATTAATTTACATGAATTTCCCAGGTCTATAAACTTTTAAAAATTTTTACTAACTCATACAGGTTTTCCAAGACAGTGGGAAAACTAGTTAGTCAAAGAAAACAATATTGTCTGGATGAATTCAAATAAGAAATATCTTGATTTAATGAATTAATGCTTGTTTCATTTTATTTTAAATCATTTTATTTTGCTGAACTCCCAATAGTGAGTCCCGGCTCCTAGGTCATCCAGGTATTCCATGTATACAGTGAACTTGCATACTGTCCATAGTATTCAGTGCATACTGCATAAACAATATGAGTGGTATGTTTTATGCATATAGCCACATTCTTCCCAGCAAGCAATAGCTGTCATTTCACAGTCTAGGTTAACTATAGATATAGTCATGCTATGAGTAACCCACTTCTAGCCAAAATAACATTTGAATTTGGTTGTTTTTGCCAAATAACTTGTGAGATCTATGATATTCCATCATGTAAGCAAAGGTAGTGATTACAGGGTGTTTGGTTTCATTTCTTTGACATGTTATCTAATTGATGATTAGTCTATTCTTGGGCGATGCATTACATTTTTCACTGACAGCCCAAATTTGGCCTTTTTTTAGCATAGACGTCTAGGCTGTGTTTGGACGGCTATAAGACGTCTTTTAAATGCAAAATTGCTTGCTGGGTTGGGAATGGTAGTAAACCTCCATCCAGTAAGTAAATCACTTTAGATAAAAGCATCTGCTAAATGAGCGATTGTAAATCTAAATGTAGCCAATCTGTCCATTAAGTATATGTCGTACTTCTGCCCTCTGTTCCTTCACTTCCTGTCCCCAGTACAACAAAGCCACCATGCCCTCTGGTGGTCTGAGGTATAAATGCAATTGAATTGAAATTGTGTCCATTATGTATTTTCATTAAGTCATTAAACAGAGTATCCACCTTATTGTGCAATGGGAAATAAGCTATTTTCTGTGAATGTGCAAGATTTCCGATTCATTATCCGCTATATTTAAATAACTAGAAGAATAGCAAAGTGCCGTAAAAGGTAAAACTACCAAAAAAGTGTTTATGATTATGGTTATAACTTATAATGTGATCAAAAATAAAGTAAAACATATTGAGTAATATCGTGAAATAGTATTTCAATTTAAAAGAAATGTTTTCAGTTTAAATATAATTTATTCCTGTGACCAAAACGAAATTTTCATAATCATTACTCCAGTCTTCAGTGTCACATGATCCTTCAGAAATTATTATAATATGCTGATTTAGTGCTCAATTATTATTGGTGCTAAATTAATAATGGTTGTTATTGTTATTATCATATATATTTTTGTGGAATTCCCCCCCCCCCCCCCCAGGATTCTTTGATGAATAGGACGTCTATTTTACTAGAAATATGAATCGTTTGTAACATTATGAATGTCTTTACAGTCACTTTGGTCAATTTAAGGAATCCTTGCTGAATAAAATAGTTATTTGCATTTTTTTTAAACTTACTTACCCCAAACTTTTAAATGGTAGCGAATCACAGTTTAAGCAGCAAAAATTGTTTTCAATGTTGGACCAAATCATGATATTAGAATGATATCTAAAGGATCATCCTCCAGTTGGCCAAAACACCAAGGCCTCTGCAATCTAAAACAATCAAAACTAAAAATGCCCTTTATCCAAGAACACACCTGAAGAACTGGGGGTTGACATCTGTGAGCTACATAATTATGCATAAATGTATGAAAGTGTGGCTGACCTCCATCAGGTAGATTGGCCCAGTAGATGACACGGTATCCCAGCAGCATGCCGTTGAGCGCTTCTTTGGGGAGAGCAGACCAGGACAGGGAGATGGTCTCGGGAGTGGTGGCTGTTGTCACAACGTTCTCAGGGGGGCGACTGGGCACTGTGGTGGGTCAACAGAACAGATTGTGTTAAGGCCCTGATATACTTCAATCGAAAGTGCGAAGAACGAACTGGTGTGATGTCATTTTGAACAAACGTAAGCTTTTTCTGCAAAAAGAAAACAAACTTTGGAAAGGTTCGCTCTGGCTGGTAAACACCGTATGCTGATTTCATGTGCTATGGGAAATTCACAACTTCCCACTTCTGAAGTCATGATTACAAACTCTTTGCATTCAAGTGCTTTGTAGTTGGAAAGAACAGGGATCATGAAGGACACTAGGTTTATTCTGGTAACACTTTATTTTGAGGGTCCCTTTTGAACATTCTACTACTATAAGTAACTTTGCAACTACATGTTATCTAACTCTCAGATATAACAGAGTATACCCCAATAAGAAGGGTTATAAGATTATAATGAAAGCTCAAAATTAAAAGTTGCTGTTTTTAAAAAAACTTCAATGGTCATTTGGGGACTCCCATGTCAAAATCCAGCTGTCAGTCACTGATCCCAAAAAGTGCACATAGTAAAAGGTGTGTCATTACAGTCAGGAGATTGAAATATTGTAGTCAATAGTGATATCATGCACTTTCAACAATGGGTGAAAGAGAATTCATTCAACCAAAGTCAAGGGCCAAGTGCCCAACTAAAAGGCACATAAGTAAACACTAATCACCATAATGGTGACCTCAAACAGACTTCAACAACTTTTAACACATACGCAACTTTTGTTGTGGTCTTGCTGGGATCATACCAGCACCCAAAAGACAACATATGCTGGTCCACCAGCACACCAGCATCCCAAGCTGGTCCCAATATGCAAAACATACCTTGTATTTTTCAGCAGGGAACTCTTAATTGTGATGCTCCTCCAACAGACACTCTACTGACTAGTATTTGTCCATGTCCAATTTTTAACAAGGAAACTCATATTTATGATAATTCGGATAGCACGTGAAACTGTCATTGGTCCGTGGCGATGACATAATAGGTAGGTGTGGCTCTGGGGCTCCGCCTTTTTTGATGTGGAAATCTTCTTGGTACATCTCTTCCGTAATCACCACAGACCAATGGTAGTTCAAAGGTGTTTACCAGCCAGTGCAAACTTTTCCAGAATGTTTCGAACTCCCGAAACAAACTCCAAACGAACTTCGTTTTGGCCTGATTTTGTTTGAAATTACGTCACAACTTTTGCTTGAAGTAAATCAAGTGAAAAACAAAAAAGAACTTCGATGAGACTATATCGCTTATATATGTATGTGAAATACTGTATCCTACAGATAAAATTGGAAGATAAGTGAGATAATAACTATTATAAATAATAGCGTCAATTAATTAATCTTCAATGTAAGTCAATGGGATTTTTTTCCCACCGCAACGCAAAGTATGTAAATTCAACAAAGGTAATGATCACAAAATGACTAACCATCCTCTAGCGTGGTGATGGTGATTTCCTCTGAGGTGGGACCCATTCCTGCCCGATTGGCCGCTTGCACCCGCACCTCATACTGGGTGTACTTCTTCAGGTTATCCAGAGTGAGGGTTTCGATGTCCCCCGTGGTGTCTACATTGATGGTGTTGTACTGGGGACTGCCCCCTGTCCCAAACTCCCGATAACACACTTGGTAACTTCGGATCAATCCATTCTGCAAGTGTTTAAGGGGGGGCTGAAAGAAACAACAGAATAGATATTGCAATATCAGAAAGACTGTAAATATGACTGCATTCCAATTCTCTAAACGAAGTACTTCTCTGGTGACGGGAAAGTGCATAAGTTTGAGAATGTAAAAACTGTATGGCAGTATAAGCATGAAATTGTGTTTCGATATTAGGAAAATTCCCTACCTAAAACATCAACTTTTAGATTAGTTTAACAAACTGCTGTGGCGGCTTCAACATCACATTCCTCCACAGTTTATCTATCCTCTTTTCATTCACCATTTTATTAAAGCAGCACTAAGTAGGAATTCCGTTTTTGTCAAACAGCGACCCCTAGAGTCTCTGTGGAGTACTTGTACTGTCGTGAATAGCACTCACGCAGAGATGGCTCGCACTCACGGCCGGATCCCCTCCCCCTATACACCGGTACCTGTTCAGTAGGATGGACGCTGTAACGAGTGGAAATAAGGTATGGCCCCTTTAAGAGCTGCGCGCGCCCTGTTTAACTGTCGGCAGTCTGTATTGAATGTGCGCCTCGAACACCACATGTATACGGCGCCGGGTTATTTCTGTTTGATGCTCATTTTATCAGAATTTTATCAGATCTGTTTTTTGCCATAAAGCAATTTGTTACCTCGCGAGACCTGATATCACACGATACTTCCTAACACGGAGGCCGGCGGCCCAAAGTTGCAAGGGTGGTTTTGCGGCTCACAGGCACTAGGGGGGGTGCGAGACGACCACCATTCAACACGAAATCAGTAATATAAACATTACAATGACTCCAAAGCTGTTCGGTTAAGGTAAAAAAATTGACTTAGTTCACCTTTAACAGAAACTCTCAATTGTAGTGTAAGGGGTTGTGATGCAGAGGCAGTGTAAAGGAGGAGGAGATGGACCACTCATAGAAAAATGAAAAGGAGAAAAAGTAACTGTTGTAAGTCTTAAATAGTGAAAAGAGACAGTCTTCTGATATTTTTACTCTAGAACTATTTAAAGGGACTTTTCTGGGTTCAGATCAGATGGAATAATGTTAATGGTTAAATTTGTTAAAACGTTTTTGTTCCCCCGAGAAACTTGCGTTTGATCACAAAACTTTTGTGATGGAAATAATATATATCATCCATCTCAATTTTTTTTCCGTATACCGTATACGTATTTGGACGTAGACCCGGTGGCAAGGGCGTAGGTTTGGGGTTGTGAACCGTTTAGCATGCTCCCTCATGAGATTTATTTATTCGTTTATTTATTTAATAATACATAATATCTGTCATTACAGAATACATTTTGGGGAAAACCAATTGTTTTGTCAATAATTATCCTCTTGATTCTAACTTGTACTCAGCCTTAAAAGTAAAATAGCTCTTGTAATTGTTTAACTATAGCATTTGTAACAATAAGGACATAATTACAGGTAAGATCATTGATGGCTCCTCATTACCAATGTTACATTTTTTCTTTCTTTTTTTTTTTTCTATAGCATTTGTAATGAAAAATAGCAGCCTACACATTCAAAAACTGCGCCACAATTGTAATATAAATCATTAGTGAAAAATCTATTCCATTAACAGATAATCTATAATAAATTCTACAAGTTAGTCAAAATTTACCACAATAAATACAATAGAATTTGATCAATTCTAGTAAAGGTGGTCATGAGTATTTTAAAAAGCTTTCTAATTAATGTTGGTGCAGGATGATGTGTTCTCCTCTTTTCAGTGTGTGTGGCTGTGTTTTAGATCGTGTGTGGCTGTGTTTTAGATG